CAGGCGCAGAGGATGCAAAGCCCAAGTCGAGAACAATAACTCACTTCACGTCAAAGCCCAGTGAAGAGATTTCTTTTGACAGCTCCTGTTTCATGCTCCCAGTGAGCTTATTAACTTCCTGCACAGGCACACAAGCCTGACCTCTCCCATTCACCCACAAGTTGGCCGCATATAAAATAGCCATTAATTCCAGCTGGCACACGGGTTTGGCTGAGGCCCTTCCTTCCTGTCAGACACCAGGAAAGAGAGCTGAGAGGGGATGTGTGGAGGGATTGGACAGAAAAAAAAGCAGCAATCCACAAACTTCCATTGCAAGCTGTCTGGTTTGCACCTCTTAAATGATCATCTACGGTCACACCAAAATTTCGGCAAAAATACTTAGAGCGGAAGATCCCAAACAGGAGCATATTCTCCCCAGAAGTACAAACCACACAGTGGCAGCCCACTCTCAATCTGATGAGAATTTAAGGAATAAAGCATCCTAAGAGCTGTGTGGAGAGTTATTAGAAATACTGCTTTGGGGGGGTTGGGTGTTTGTTTTTTCAGTCTATTAGCTTACAAGAATAAGCTGATCAGTTATTTTTAACCCAAGCTAAGTGTAAAGACAAGCATCATAAACATCTTTCCCTGAAAAGACTAGTTTTTGACAGACTTATTTCCACATACAGACTGTGGGGCTTCAGCACAGTTAGAAGAACATTTACAAGACACTAAGCTAAAACTGCTTTTGAAAAGGAAACACACTGGATGTAACCTTGCAAGGTTATAGATGAACATTGATGAAACCTTACAACTTGCTTGGATTTGAACAAGATGGATTTGAAGGGAGAACTGGACACTGATCCGCATGTAGGACTTATAATTGAAAACAAAGCCAGCTGTCAGTAGAAACTGCTACAAAAGAAACAAACATTTCCAGCAAAGATTTGCTATATAGTCAACAGGAACTTTCTACATGAAACAGATAACCACAAACACACACGTGGCAGTGGCTAAACTGGCCTTAAGTGCTGCATTAAAGTCTTCTTCCTTACTGAAAGGTTCAAACTCTAAGGACAAGACCAATAAGCAGTGAAAGCAGAACATGGGGAATTTAAACATAAGAATTCTCACTTGTTCTCAGTTGTCTGACAGCTGGCAATGGAAATTTGTGCAATGCAAAAGAGGTAACAACCTTTAAAGCACTCAGGCTTCAGATGCTCAGGATACATAAGACACACAAAGCCAGTGGAGTTTGGTTCTGTGGGGTTTTTGAGATTGTGTACTGTTGTGGTTTGGTTTTTTGTTAAAAGCACATCCCAGATCACTCATTTGAATTGCGGTTCAATTCTGTAACATTAAGGTAGGAATCATACGTGCCTTCTCCAAAGCCAACATAAAGGTGAAGATGATTTTCCTGGAAGTAGTTCTCATTTGTCCAGGTATGCAGCACTTATTGTTGTGGGGAAGTTCTGTCATGGAATGTACTTTAATAGCTAAGAAAATACCTTCATTTAAATGTGTGCGTTCACTCTGAATATCCAAGACGTAGACCCGTCATCTGACAATTAGTTAGAGACTTCAGTTTAAGCACTCAGACGCACAAGATTAAGCTTGAAAATATTGCCATTCTATACACTGCCATCCTCTCTTCCAAGTTTTATTATTTAGACAAGCCTAGAGAGTATTTAAGCTGAAGCCACTTTGTATAATTCTAAAAAGTTTGTCTATTGCCATACGAATCTTTAGGCTTCCTTAGCCTCAATAGCCAGAATTAGCGTAATTGCTGTTGGGTGGCCAGTTCAACCCAAGAATAGCTGGAGTTCAAACCCACCTTAAAATTAGGTGATCAGAAATTAGGTGTGAGGACTAAAAGATGCCTTTAAAATTAATGAAACAGCTCTCAGAAGTGATTTATGAAAGCAAGTGGTTAGAAGGAGACAAACTTTTCCAGCTGACAAAACTGACTGAGAGGAAATGCAGGTAGTCAGCAGTCAGCATCAGGAGGCAGAAGAGTGCCAATGAAAGGAATTCAAGTGGGAAAGATTTCATTTGAAAGCACAGAATAGAAATCAAAACATTACTTACTAGTAGGCAGGAAAATAATAAAAGGGCTCAGGAAAAGGGATTTAGGGATTGTGCTCTGTGGCTGCAAATGCATCAAGCACAAAACACACTCAGGAACATTTAAGTTTCTCTAACTACTTTTCAAGTGATTCCAGTGGTGTTTGTTTCTGCCATGCTTTCCAGACGCCAAAAACTCTATCATACATGCAGTCTCTTAGTAGGTTACATATGAAAAATCTTAGTAAGTGTTAGGGAAGGGATAAGAAAGTGCCAAATCAGGTGACAGATCAAGCACAGAGTGCTTTCTTGGTAGAGCACCTCAAAGCAAAGCATCACTGCTAATCTTCAGTTTCAACATGTTTCATGGCAAAGATACCCATCTCTCAAATCTGCATCTAGGCCGAATAGTTACAACAGATAGGGAACTATCTGTTCAGTTGTGAGGTTTTTATACACTGAAGTTCTTCTAAAAAAACCTAAGGATAACTCAAAATCAAGTTAAGGCACATGCAAGTTGACTTTAGCAAAATATAAAATCCAAAACTGATGGCCCGGTGTAAAAAACTCAAAAGGCACATCCATTTATTGCTGTGAAGATTAATTAGAAATCAAATCTATGAAAACTGCCATAAGTACTTTAAGCTGTCATGTTACAGCATCACTGACCAAAGAGCAAAAAGAGTCCTGTATTCCAAACAGACTGTATTCAAAATTTATTTTTAAATAAAAGAAAAAACAAGACAATGATTTTAAATAAACATGGTATATTCTACACACCTGTAGATCAACACAACTTTACATTAGCCATTTTTAATTTTTAGAAGTTCTGTTGCAGCATCTTCTACATCTGACAGTGTTGGTTTCCATTTCATCATCAACCGAGCAATACCAAAATGAAACTATTTGCTTAAGTGAAGCTTTATGTTTTGTGACCAAAGATGGCTCTACTAATACAAAAGCACCTATTAAACAATTATCCCCACCTATTTTTTTTTTTAAATGAAGTCTGTTCAGCCTTTTTTTGGTTCTGTTTCATTGCCTGCATAGAAATCAGCACAAAGCTAAGTTGCAAGCTAAGCTTCACTTTAGCAGTACAATGAATGGCATCAAACTTCATGAAACAAACAAAGACACAAACATTGTCAGCAAAATTCAACTACGTAAAAAACAGTATCAAAACCAGAATGTTTGTGGGTCACAACTAGACTAGCTTTCGGTGCGCAACTTTCCTCAGGAAAAGTGCTTCTTCCTGATTCACATGAAAAGAATGAAGCATGCATCAAAAGCCTTTGTTCATACAGAAATGCCCATTAAGAGTTCCATGGTATCATAAGGCAAAAGAGCTATTAAGATGGATGAAGCATTTTGGCCCAGAGTATGTTCTACAACACATACACACACATTACAATTGTGTAGCATATGACAGGTAAGGGATTGGCTCAGTAAGGTAAAAATGTCCGTTTTTATAAATACATGTCATTATTGCTAATATGCTACACATTACCATCCAACTTTTAAAACCACTTTGTTGGCATTAGCCTTGTAATTAGCAGCTCTCATTCACGGTGACAATATGTTATTCCATCTGAAGTAAAGCAGCATAAATACAACTATGAAAACAAAAGCCTTATGCAACATCCCTTTCTAGCTTTGCTGTGTTTTTTAATTAAAAAGTGTTCAAAGAAAACAAGTCCAGTTCACCACAAATTAGGAAGTCTCACAATGAGGCTGGAAATCAAGCTACAGGGAGCAGAGAGGGGAAAAACACGGCATGCATTATAATCTAGTCCTTTTAGTCATACCACTGGAATACAAAGGTCCAATTTAAAGGCTAGACTAACAGTAGAAGGCAAAAAGCCAAGAGTAGACTTAGTTTGATATTTAAATTAAGATTCCAATTTTAATCAGTAACAGCAAACTCACCCAGTCCTTTAATATAGTCACAACATCTACTGCAGTTGAATACGTAATTATGACTAGTATAAGTATGTATGTTCACTTTAAAAAGATATTAAACACCTGCATCATGAAATTACATTCTTAAGACATTGTGTAAGAAAATAGCTCATGTGTGAAATGTTTCTGAAATGTATTTCTGCTCTGTTCTACTCCCTACTATGTCCTCCACACACGCACCCCCCCCACCCCCCGTCCCATCAAAGCATTCACTCACAGGGGAAAACAAACACCCCTTAAAAAAGGATGCAAATATGGAAGGGGACCAGCTTGGTTAGTTACAGCACAGTGCTTAGCAGGGTTCAAGACAGAACCAGATCAGAGTTGGCCAAACGATGCCCACAATACATGCCTGACTAGTACTTCCTTCCAACTCATTCTATCAAACTCAGTCCACTTTTGGTTCATTGCAATGACTAAAGTATTTCATATATACATATAAACACAGGAGTCCAGCTTTACTTTAGTTTGGTTTTGCAAAGCGTTTTGACTTTTCCATTCATGTTGTTCTGCAGCAACTACAAGAGGTAGGCATAAAGCATTTAAAAGCTTCTTTCCCAAGGTCCCATTACTAGCTGAATTTAGTGGGATAAAACAGAAATCAGCTGTACTTCTGTCATTTTACTAGGTACGGCCTTGTAAAATCCAGCTGAAAAATAGCTGTGTGAACCCTGGATTTACTAGGCTAGCACACCATGGAGTAAGAAGCTGTTCACATCCAGAAGGATATTGGTTTTTTTGTAGAGTTTACTGCAGAGCATTCTTAAAGAAAGTAATGTTAGGACCAATTCTCTCCAATTCTATTTGTACATAGGAGCAAGGTACCATTTGGCCAAGACTACAGATGTATCCTCACAGATGCAAGAGCCATGCAAAAATAAATTAAAGAACAGATACCAAAACATACAAGTAGTAATAAAACTACTGAAGGTAGATTTTCTTAAAGTATTTATATAAACAATTTATAATACTTTTCTTCCCCTCCCCCCCCCTCCTTCCCCCTTTTCTTTTTGACATTCACAGTTACAAAGCTGTGGCTATACATCAAGAATTTCTTCTGCAGTGCCTCCACAACGTAATCTGTAGCGTCCTGTCCTCCAGCTAATAGTAGGGTCCCACAAAGCAGATAGAAAAATATAAATTGTCATGGATTCTCTGATGAACCAAGCTACTGCATAATCAAGTTTCGAAAAACACAGAGCACCACCCTAGGAATATAAAAAACAAGTATTTAAACATACTGAACATATTGATTATTCAAAAGGAATTTTAAAGTAATTTAAAACATTTGTTACGATACATCTATTCTAAAGCTTATTATACAAATCTACATATCAACAGTATATTTTTTTATAAGCCAAGAATGTTTTCTTGTTCAAGATATGATTACCCATATTAAACACGAGGAGCTTGGCAGAATAACCCAGAAGGTTTGAAAAGAGACTTGTACATAGAATAAAAGGCAAGGAAAAGTGTGACAATTTCACTTTTTTCTTTTACAGGTTTTGTAAAACTGTTCAGGTAGACACCGGCGTTTTGCCACAGACCCCGGAAGAACAGAATCTAGACAGAACACTCCTGCACATTCTCAGAGGAGTGAAATTCAAATAAGCAAGCCTTTGGCCTATTGCATAGGAAAAATGGGACTAAGAAAAAAGCTTATAGCCTCTCTATATTTTTTGCTCCTTTGAGAATTTCCAGTTACATGAAGAGCTGGAAACTGAAGAGGCTTCAGATGAGGAAGAGTGAGCACAAAGCCCTTTTACATGCTGTTCATGGTGAGAAGACTAATCAGAAACGTGACTGTTAAACCGACGTTCTGGAGTTCTACAGAATCAACACAAGGTCTAACCTTTTTTTATGTCCAGTATTTGTTAAGACTACCAAAAGAATATTTTTCAGGGTGATGAGAACTATTTGATTAGTTTGAATACACAAGTAATTATGGATCAGATTTAGATGGAATATGGTCACAGCAGAAAGTAGTCTAAATAGCTCCTACAGCATCAGAAGAACAAGTGTTTTTCTGATTTGTGACACCTTTCTATATTAAAAGTTTTTTTGAGGCTTCACTTCTAGTGATGGGAAGATTTTATTTTTAGAAGTAGGCTACAGCTGTCCTGTAAGTCCATTATTACCAAAATAAAGAAAAAGGTACTCAGTACATATGCACCTCAACAAAAACAAGACAGAGACAACTAAGATAAAAAAAACATAAAATCCCACAAAGCAGCTGTTCTTGTACTGTTAAAGCTTAAAAATTTCTGGATATGCCTAGGTAGAGCAGACTGGAAACATGAAGATTAGGAGACAGATACGCAAACTTTCAGAGCCCAGGCAGAGGGAGGTGCATATAGAACACAAAATTACAAACAAATATACTTACTCCTTTTCATGCTACTGTAATTGAAGCTGGAAAACTGAGAAGTAACAGGATTTGATCTGTTATTTCTTGATGTCAAGAAAGTTATTTTGTTGTTATAATAAGGCTTCACTTTTTGCTGAAGTAGATAAAAAAAACGAAGCCACGTACCTGAACACCTTTTAGTTGAATGTAGTCAAATATAAACCACGCCAAGCAGTGACACATGAAAAATACCATTATATCCCATCTAAACACATGATGAGCTGCCCATCCAATAACTAGACTGGCAACAAAGCACTCTGAGATTGGTTCACAAATTATTGTGGCAGGCAACATATTAATTCGCAGTTTGGCCCACCTAGAAAAGAAACAGATCAGTTCTGAGTATGCATTATTATTTACGTCCTCCTCCCCCACCTCATCCAATGAGGAGTCATCATGGTCTTTTCTGACAATGTTAGTTTAATCTTATTTAATCTACACCTCCAAATAAAATACTGCAAAAATTCTCCCTTTCAAAGATACTGCACATAGCGTTTAATAGTTACTAAGTTGGGGTTTTTTTTTAAGCTTTAAAAAATACTTCTATCAGTCACTACTTCTGTGGAAAGTCAGTGTCTCTCCCAACACTAACAAGAATCATGCATCAAGTTGTGCATTCTGGACATTAGATCGAATTAGCTTGGAAAATGTATTCCCTCTTATTATCAGGTTACCCACATCAGAAGCAGGTGACAGGTGTGAGTGAGAGACAAAGTAAATTTAATATTTTACCTGATCATTCTGGACTGAAACTGAGAAATGGAATATGAACCAGAGTTTTGCATTGCAACTTGTGTGGCCATTGCAAATTTCCAGCCCCTGAAAAGTAAATATATTGTTATAAAATACATGCAAATAAGAGATGGAAAAACCAATTACAGAACAAATACCCAAGAATTTTATTAGGCTTGAATAGTTTTTGGTCAATGCGCCATATTATTACAATGGGTGCAAGCAAAACTTAATGTATTTTATAAAGCCTCTTCATTGGAAAAGAGCAAATGCCACTTGAATAATAGTTAAACCAAGTTCTCCAACTTTTTTCCAAAAAGAATTGACAGTCACGGGGCTTAATTATTTCTAAAAGACTACATTGATAGGACAAAGCACACATAAGCATGTTTGCTGTATACATGCGAAGCTGGCCTGAACACTTATGCTTACAATATGTACCACGTGTTTAGAAAAAAAAGAGATTTAAATTGCACTTAAAGCTAGAAGTTTGCTTCAGAGTCATCTTACCGGTCAGCAATAGCTTTGGCCATAAAGTAATCTTCAGCAATATATTGTGCAAAGGCTATCAGTCCTCCAGCTTGGTCCAAGACATCCTTCCTCATCAAGCATGACATTCCTGTTACACACTTAAAGCCAGTTAAGTTGGCTGAAATATATGACCTTGGATGTGAAGTTCCAAAATAAACCTGCCAAAACAAAATAAGGCTTTTAAAACTCTATATGTATTAACGCAAGTACTACTCACTGACAACTTTTTCACCAATTATGATGGTATATTTGGAAAGATCTTTACCACCAATCTGAGAAATCTAGTAGTGATATTGGCTGTGTTTTTACAAATCCATGAGCAGGTTTTGAATTCACATACTAAACCACCATATTTCATTTGGTATTTAATTTCTAATTCATTGAGGTTACTTCAGGGAATATATATATTAAAATCCATTCAATAACTTACTGATCACAAGGATTAATACATTTTTTGTGATAAGAGAGACATGCTGACTCCTTCCTCTTGTAAAGATTAACTGCATTACTGCATGCATGTTCTTAGAAACTTACTACATTGTTGTACAGAAGCAGAGGAATTTTGTTTACTTAATGCACTTGCAAACAGAAATAGCAAACAAAAAACTCAGATTGTGCAAGAGTCTTTTTACAAGAGTCAATAACTTAAAGTTAGGAGTGTTCTATAAAGAGATGGTGAGAATGAGTGCTAGTGCCTCTCACTACTATTCTTCCTATGATGGGCTTCACACTGGTCTGACAAATACAGTAACTCATTCAAGAAAAGGCATGCTCTTCTTGCAGTATACCAATCTGGAACCAAAAAGCTCTTCCAGAATACAGAAGCAGGAACTGTAATTCTCACTACTTTAGCACGTAGCAGTACTAAGAGCTTTCCACTATAGCTCCTTGCTCTTCTCTTCTAAGAGGAAATTCAGACTGCGTCACCAAAACAAAACAAAAAAAAAAAAAAATCACACGAGCTGCCCTCTCTCCATGCAATGCAGAAGTACTGAATTTCACTGCACTTTCATCTCTCACATTTCTGCCTTTGACACACATTAGTTAGCCTTGGGGCCAAAATGCCATATACATGCCAGCTTAGAATAAAAGATGGCTGACTAAATTACCTGTCTTGAGACACAAGGAACAAACAAGAGAACTCAATCTCTTCATTCTACAAAAGAGAACTTACTGAGAAAGAAGAGATGGGAGAATAGGACAGAATGAGCGATATGAAGATGGTGGATAGGAACCCACCAAATTCCAAAACAAGTATTAGGAGACATGAAATAGCACTAGTAGAGAACAAGGGTCAGAGCGAACAAGGTGGTTCCTGTAACACTAAATCCATGGAACCTGCTGGTAAAGACAGTTATGGATGTTCAAAAGTCTATACAGACTCAAAGAAAGAGTAGAAAAGTTCATGTCAGAAATCTGTTCTTACTAGTATATGGAGGATTAGTAACTATACAAGTTTACTTCCTGCTCAGGAAATCTCTCAGCTGAAAATTGCAGAAAGTTGAGATGGTATTACAGGACAGCATGATACAAGCCTTGCTGCCATTCTACTCTTGTCCGAGGCTCTGCCTATTACCCCTGCTGGAAATAAGGCACTGTGCGAGCTGGACTTTGACTTGTCATGGCTGTTTCTGTGCTCCTTTTCAGACACCAAAATAGAATTAATGGCCTTTTCTGACTAAGCACTAGAAAGAGTTCTTCCATTTTAATAAGTTTTTTTTCAAAAAAGCTACAGTTTTCATTCTGTAATCTTTATTGCTTGCAATGTAAACTTAAATTATGAATCAACATTCAGAGCGCCACAGTAGAAATTTGGAGCATTTAAGAGTTATCCTAGATAGTTTGAAGCGTGACTGCAGCTGAAAATAAACATTTCTTCACTCAAAAATTACAAGAGGCACTATACAACTTTTAATCAGCAAGGTCTTGCTAAAAAAACCCAAAACATTGCACTCACCTGTTCAAGGGTAGCAGCAAAACCCTGTCTGTCTGCAACATAGGGAAGCCCGTGGACTAAGCCTACTTTTTCAGTCATTTGATTGGCCATATCTGTCAGTGTGTCTGGCGTTACTAGGTGACAAATGAGAAAAAGACAGTTCACTGAGCAACTGCATCATTAGCAGGCTGCTGTATAAAGACACTAATTCTCACACTATTACCAATATCAAAAGCACAAACTTTGATGCGCAGTATTTTGGAGCAACACAGTTTCATAATAATAATAATAATAATAATAGTGATTAACATAATTATTATGATCAGCAACAAATACAATGGAAACAGTTTGAACAGTATTTTTTAAATGGGATTTTCGCCTTTAATTAGAGATTATACTTTTTACATCATGAAGATATTTTTTCAAGACTCCTAACTTTCATTTCTATTTGTATTCTCAGTCAAAATAATCTCCAACAACTGCTTGTTTACAGGAAGTAAGAGCAATACAACAGTCAGCACATTACAACACACCCCTACCTCTGATTCCACTATCACAAATCCATATGAGATCATATTTGGCAACTTCATAGCCAGGCATTAAGTTGTTAATCTTGGGGTTGATGCCAACCTTCTTGCCACCTAAAAAATACAGACATCATACACAAATAATGTAGAGGGTTTTTAAGAATTCAAACTCAATACCCAAAATACTTAGATAGTAAGTATTCTAATATTTAGAATAGTAAGTGTTTACTGATCAATTCTTAAAGTCCCACTTTTATGAAAAGGATTAAAATTTTAAGTATTCCTTCACTTCTGTATATCAGATCTTACTACAATTATGCAGAGAACTAAAAGGAAAAAATACTTAAAGGCTTCCTCGAAACAGCAGGGTTTGTGTAATTAAAAGGGCACTAGAACTACAAAGTTTATCACTGCCTTCTGTAAGTATGCTCTCTCTCTTAATTCTTAAGATTACTGATCATGATTATTATACTCTACAGTAATTCTAGCAGAAAAATGAAAAAGGAGCTGAACAAAGCGAGACACACTTCGCTCCTAACTGACAAAAATGGTTGTTTGTTTAGTGTCAGAGAAAAAAGCTACATTCTACTACCTAGTTCTAATATTCTTACATCCTACTACCTAGTTCTAATATTCCTTCTCTCCTCTTATTCAAATGTAAAGTGAAGAAAGAGCCCTAAAGTTTAAGCTGATGAAAAAGGATTGTTACAGGACCTCAAGCTCAAATGCAGACACAACTCCTTCACATTTAGTTCAGTGCAAAGACAGAATTTAAATTGCTGTTTCAGATTTAGAAAGAAAAAGTAGCAGAGGTTGCATAAATCATTCTTCCTATAGTTTTTTTGGACTGATATCTCAGATTGTGACTACAAACTTACTTCTTTAACCCAAACAGATGATTAAGCTACAGAACCAGCATGGGCTGAACAAGATGACTATTTTAGAATACTGTATATGGAGTTGAAGACTTAAAAACATTTCACAAGTAAGAGTCTCACCTTTGAGTTGCACTGCTTACCTATGAACAGTCTAGCATCAACATTCGGGTATTTGCCAAGGAGCTTCTTGCACACATCGACAGCTGGATCATCATGATCTTGTACACAGAGTAGTACTTCATACTAGTAGAAACAAAAATGTAAACGTACACACATATATTTAAACACAATATCAGTGTGGTCTAAGGAATAAAGCTTAAGAGTGTACCAAACTGAAAAAAACAAATCAAGATCACTGTTACAGAATTAAAAATAAAACCAAGGAGGTTGTCTTACAGCTAAATAAGACTATTTTTTAGTGCACGACCAAGTACTTGTGAAAAAAGAATCAAGTCTGTAACCTAATAAACTCTTGTATTAAAGAACACCAATTTTTCTGTTATCAGAGGGTTTTTATTAGGTATGAAGCAAGACATCCTGGTACAGAAGGTAAATCCAAAAATAGAAGTAGAAATAAAAATTTTAAGATTCATATGTGAACAATCTTATATTCAATGAAATTACAGCACAAAAAATCTTAGAGGAATGATGTTACAATACACTTGACTGCATACCTCTGAACTACACCTTCCTCTCCTTTACTTTGTAGATGCATATGCAGAACAGAGTTGGAAGAACCCACAGAGACCAGTATATGTACACTCAATGGTATAATAAAGCTAAGCTCAGGAACATGTACATGCGCTTTCCTCGTTAATAGAACAACAGTTAAAAAATATCAAAAAGAAGCAAAGGAAAACTTGCTGTTTCAGCAATCAAGGTACATGCTCGTTACACATAAGCTACAGAGAGTGGGTGAGGAAACAGCATTAAGAATCAGTCAACACTGAGACAGCTTTGCAAGCTTTGATGGAGGCATTTCAGTTTCTGCATTATCACTAAATTCCTTGAGCACTCCTTACCTGATACAGCCTTCCTCTCTCCCTATTAAAATTACTGAACTATTACAACAAGATATTAGAGCTCTAATCCAAAGAATAAAATTCAGAAAATGCAAATTTCTGATCAAGACACCTAGAAGCCATTTTTACAGTAGAAGATTTAAAAATTCAATCTCACTAAAATAATTTTCTTGGACCTCATTTGATCTAGCAGTTGTAAATGACAGTCCCAAGAAGTGATCAAAATAGTTCTTATTCTCCCTTAGTATTATTCTATCATACCACTGAATATTTACTTTCAGAAAACTACTTAAGCAAAAACTAATCCGAACTTCAAAAGCTGCCTGTGCGCTCAATGATGACAATCTCTGATGTTCTTGTTCAGTAAGAAGTATTTTATACTATAGAAGATATTAAGTTAAAAAAGTACATTCTTTCAAGAAAAAAATGATGTTGTTAAACACAAAAGAGTCCAATGACTAACTGCATCCAGAATATCATGGAAACTTAAAATCATTAACCACTAAACGGGAGTTGGTAAGACTTGGTTTAGCACTACAAACTATCAGACAAACACATCTCTACCTCTCAGAAGGCAAATTCAAAGCCAGTTTGCCTAAAGAGTGAGCAGTATTTGATTCCTATCATTTTACCAGCATGGAAAATGGGATTTTAAAGGGTAAAAGACCTGCCCCATTAAGCAGACAGGTCCTTCCACCACAACAGAACAATCCTGATAGCATGAACACCATAGAAATCACCGAGAAACGCAGTTTCTTATCGCTCACCCAATTAAATATGTAAAAAGACAACTATTTTTGCCAGTAATTAAATAAGTAATCTTCAGTCCACAGTTGCAATGACACTTCTAAATACATATTCTCCAAGAAATTCAACTGGAAATACCAATAACTGACATTGCAATATTTGAAAACAGAAAAACGCACAGTATGCAGTAACCTTTGTATGCAGTAACAAAGAACTATAAAATGTACGAATAAAGCAGAAGAAATTCAAAGATGATTATAAGCATTACAGTCAGGTTCATTTGGACATAACGTGAATATAAAGATTTCCGTCAAAATTACAATATGCACAGTAGGTAAGAACTGTTCACTGATAACAATTACATGTAGTAAGTCCTGCAGTTTCTAAGCTGCATAACTGGCTTCTATGCAAGATAAGATTATTTCACACATGAGGTATCACAGAAGAATATCAGAGAATCAGTATCACTGCAGGTTGAACTCAGCTTCTCTGGAAAAAGTTTAAGATAGTTCTTTCCTAATAATTTTTCCCTGGACAGCAGAATTTTGACTACCAGGCAACACTGTTGTTCTTTGGTAATTATTGTACAGCAGTGTTTTCAAACAGTTTTGGGATCTTGCTTGTAGTGTATAATCTGTGCCCCAGTAAATTGAAACATTCATATCTGTTTTCACCGTCCCTGGGTAAAACATGATTGTCATTACTGTTATCTGAAATTCAGATTTGTGGAGTAGCGATATTTTAAGATTTCCACCCATACGTATAAGTTATAGTAAGTGTCAAGACTATCTTTCATAAAGCAAGATCCAGCAGAATTGTTTTTCTAAATTCTCAGACAAATCCTATTTTAGTCAAATTTTTCAGCCACGTTTTGATGCTCAGAATAGTCATAAAATAGCTTAAGATATAGTTGCAGCTTCTTTGCATTGTTTGCAATATTGGCACACACAGCATGCCTCAAGTATACTTCAAACTTATCTTGGCCACACAATCTTCATTGTGCTTTTGTTGAGTCAAAAGAGATTCAAATGTTCACGCCTGAAGCTTTTCAAAAGGCCCCAAGCTTCATTACAGAAAAACTATCCAACTTCTAATAAGTTCCAAATGGTGAGGGGTTTTTTTTGTTTTACCCTGCCTACTTAAGAGTAAGTTTAAAGCTCTCAGTCAGAAAGGAAACTCACTCTACAGCTTATCTGTACCTTTGACCTTTTACAACTGAAGCAGCAGTGTCAGAAGCAGTTTTGAGAAGAAATGAGAAAGACTTTTTCATAAAAAGTAAATTACAAGGAAAACGTAGTCCTTTTGCCACCCATAGAAGCATACACCAAATCGTGAACAGTGTAGCAAGCATTTGCAGATTCCTCCTTTAAGTTGTAAGCTCCTTAGAGCAAGGACAGAATTATCACTTACATTACAAAGTCAAACAGAGCTCAACAGCACAGGTAAGCTTTTATTAGTTACTTGTTTCACAACACTGATAAGCAGCTTGGAGACTACTCTACCTACCAACAACCGGTGAGGTACACCACCTCATCACCAAGCAATTCTTTGTTAGATGAGCCGTCAGTGAGAACCACCAGCAAGTTGCAGGCTATGAGTTAAGTGTTCTCTTTCAGAGGATCTGTTGCAGAGAAGTAGTTAACTGGGGAGAGTGTCTGGCCTCTCAAACAATCTTTTATAGATTAAAGAGTTTCATACTGCTATACACACCACAATATAGGAATAACGATTAAACAAATCTTAGTGAAGTGTAGAGCATGTTTCATCCCTAAGCCTCGGTCATGTTCCTTTACAGACTGATTTTTAAAAAAGAGTAAGTTTTGTTTGTAACATGTAAAACATGTAATTATTCATTTGCTGTGGAAGGAAGGACAATCCAAGACATAATCAAGCTGCACAGTTCTAGCCCAAGCTCCTGATATGACTTTTGGAGGCATGGGAAGAAAAAACACACTAAATGTATACATACTTTTGGATAATCCAGTTCAAAGAAGGTTTCTAAGTTGTTGATCAGGTTAGGATCCACACCTTTCAACGGCTTTAGAAGTGAAACACCAGGAAGTTTGCTATATGGCTGTTTTTCTGTGGCTTTCTTATTGAGGTGGAGGCGTCTGTAAAGAGAAACAACATATACCATCACAAAGAAAATATGCTAGAGAATTCCATTCCAAATACAGTCAGAACTGAGAAAGCCTGGGCGTTAAAATTGCTGCAAATTATTAGTTTTGGTTGTAGAAACAACAGCTCTTTTTATATCTGACAGTTGATGTGTCAGAGACAATGCCTAAAAAAATCTTAGCATTGTTTGTAGGTTAAATTCAACCTTATTCAGCTTATTACACATTTCAGACTAATGCATTTTGCACTATGCATTTTGAACGAGTATCACTTTTTTCAAGTTGCACAGGACAAGATCCTTCTGCCTTCCTCCATAGCACTAAAACTAGTAGTATTGAACAGGATAATCACAAAAAAATTTACTGTAAACAGAGCAAAAAAGAAAAGGGTCAGGGGCTTTTTCCTACATTAAGTTATGCAAAACTTAGAGCAAGCTGAAAGCACAGGGAAAACAGTTGATCCTACTGATCAATTTGTTAACAAACATCTTGAAGAAATGGATAAGGTTTAATCAACTGTAATATAAAAATCCTAGAAACTGGAGATCAGGCTGAATCAGCAGCACAGATAAACTGAGAACACGATTCCAAACAGTCACTAGTATTTCAGCAATGACTATACAAGGGAAATTGACGATCATGTCACAACTCACTGACATGAATGTTTACTCTTACAGCCCTGTGTGAATGAACACAAAATCAAATTCTGAAAGATTCACAGGTCAGTGTACAATCAAATTTGCATCATGTAAATATATATATAACTTAAATAACTAGAGAAAAAGTTATTTGCTGAAACTTAAAATTCGGAAATTAGTGTATATACTGCATGCTGTAGTTCTCTAACATGCGTAGTAACCAGACTGAAAGTGTTTTATTGCAGCATGTACCTAACAGCATGGATTCTTGATTTAAACTGTCATGCTTTAAAATGTAGAAGATGCTGCCTCAAAAAACAACAAACCAAAAAAGGGAATAAGGTTGCTTTATGAAGTGCTTCATCCTGATTAAATGGTAAAAAGAAAGTCAAGCTCCTAGCAAGCATGCTCCTGAAGACTGTGTCTGACACAGTGAAATTACTGAACTATGAAGGAGCTCCACTAAGAGGAGATTCTAGTAGTTCTCTAGAATTATTTTTTCCTGAAATGGTACAGTGACATCACATTTTTTACCTCATCAGCCCCCCGCTCCCCAGCATGCTCTTTTAAGGCAGGTTTGCAGCTGGACACCAGTGGCATAATGCTGTTACTGTGAATAAACAATGGGCTCAATAAAAAGACAGAAGGACAAAGCAGATCATGTCCTTGTACTGTTACTGAGTCCAAGTCTGGGCACTGCAGAGGACAACTGAAATACTCTTGCTGAACAATTAAGAGCCAAAGGACAGTTAGATCAAAGTAAGAAAAGTGATAGTTACCACAAACAGAGAAACATTTCCTTACCAATTTTCACAAACTTAACAGCAAACAAGGGCTTTAGTGCCAATAAGAAGGGAGAGTCTCAAGAACGCAACTTGGAACAGGAGAAACAAAAGGTAGATAATGCAAGGAGAAAAAAGTACTCCATTTAAATCAGAAGATAGCAACGCACATAGCTTTGTACAGAGGCAAAAGTCTTGATGAACAGGAAATGAGAAGGAAGTGGCAGAGTAAATGGAAAAAGGTAAGGAGACAAAGGGTAAAAACAGACTTGAGGCAGGACTGTGATAAAGAATAACCACCAAATGATAAAACTGCAGAATCTTGCAAGGCATCATATTACAAACCATGCTAATGCACAGGATTATGCAGGTGATCGAATTACATAAAGAAAAGCCTACACATAGTGCAAAAGAGGGAAACCTTGGAAAACATGCAAATGAGGCATGCAGCATTATCAGGATCTATTCAGTTATGAAACATCATACACAGACTTTTGGCAGTAAGAGAGACTTTAGACAGTAAGTCTGTCTCTGACGTGCTATCTCAACAATAAGATTCCAATCCATGTTCTCGTCATTGGGCTGCACAAAAGCAGCAGCCTGCCTTCCTGAAAGCACTGTGTTATTGTGACACTAGGGTAAACCAATTTCCACACCAGTAATTGCAATGCTCTGTTACACTCCATGGAGCAAGAGCAAATTAACAGTAAACCAGATCATTTTAGACTGAGAAGGGCTATTTGCGAAGTGGCATGTTCTGGAGAAGAATTAAAATGTTACAACTAAAAACCGACCATCACCAGAGAAACAGATCAAGCATTATAAAAACAAGTTACAATATTCAAGTTAAAGCTAATATTTAACACGGAAGTCAAAATAGACTAAATTTAAACAACACTGACATTGTTGATGCAGGTTTGTTCTAAATGAAGTTGTGTGTTACAGAACATGCACTAAAGTCTCCAAAGCAGAGGTAAGATGAAACAGTAAGTTTCTGGTTTTGAGCACTAACGTGTGCTTACAGCTGTTCAGTTCTGAGAGGTGTCGTGATCAGTGGCCTTCATTGCCATGGAGCAGGTATGACATGTAAAATTCAGAACGATAAAGGAAAGCAATCCTTTAACAAAGTTTCTATGAGGTACAGAATATTATATATTATTTTGCATTGAAATTAGCCCAAAGCAGTCAAAACCACTAACTATACAGGTGTACTTGCTTAATACATTTTTTTTCTACCTCTGTGTAACGCTGTAAGTAGCAGAAAAAAAAACTACACCAAGGAATGTGTAACAACTTTGAGCTCTGAAACAGATGCTGGCAGAGCACTATTTAAAGGCATTTTCAGATCCTGTGTGTGAAAGACCAGTAACCAGGTTAACTATAAGCACTTTTGCACCTACATATATTGAATGGGTCAGCCTGCAATCCCTAGGTAATGAAACAAATTCCTTCTAAGCAGTCAGGTGCTGGTATACATAGGTGGGTGAAGTTCACCTAATAGTTCAACTATCCTATATCACGTAGGAGGCATCTGCAAAATTTTCTCAACCTTAGTTTCTTAACATGATAATAACTAACTTACAGAAACAACTGTAACCTAGATTTCTTCTCTCAGCCAAGGAAAAAAGTATTCCTAAAGACAAAATCCAAGCTATTGAGTTATCACTGCCTAGTATACTACGTGATAAATTCTTGCTAACCTGTATCAAATTAAGAGGCCTACTACACTCTTACTCCTTTTTAGGGACCTCCTAGACTTCAGATAGATTCGAAAACTGCAAAACAGATCAAACAAAAGCCAACATCACCTGTGGCCACAGGACAGACTTATTCTTGAAGCAAGTGCTAAACACCTTAGTCTTGTTTCCAACATTCCACCCTACCCCAGTGAAGCTGAACCAGTTTAACCACAGACTACTGCTCAGAGGCACTCTCTTTCCTCCTCTCCCCTCTCTTTCTGGGCTGTGCTGTGCTTCTGAGTGGTGCTGACACTCATCTGATCCCACAGTGACCTAGCTGAAATACTTAAACCACCACATAACTATTACCCCACTTGTAATGTTAGCATTATGTCAGTTTAACTCAGCAAGTACACTGTTTGAAAGGATGTGGCAAGACAGTCATGCAGCTTCGCTAGCAGCAAAGAGCCCCCAGTGTTCCTTCTCCTCTGTGTTGCCATCAACACCAGCCAAACAAGCCATCATGCCAGTACTGAAGCCCATACAATCCTGCTTCAACTCTCTCAAGATAAAATTCAGTCTGGGTTTTTCCCTCCCACTTCAGGTTGTCTTCTGCCAAATTAGAGTTAGGGCACCTTAGGGAAGGCTGCAAGAAGCTTCAGAGCACGTTCAACGAGGCGACTGTGAACATGCTGTCAAGATCATTGAAGAGGAGGAATAGAATCTCCTTCCTCCTCAGGCTTCAGTGGGCTTCCACAAGAGCTGAGGTGCCCACGGTTGAGCTGCATACGTCCACTCACCATGGAGTCAGACAAGGACCACCGTGAGCACAAAGTAAACAGCAGGGGCACAACACACTACTCTAGAAACAAGAATTAGAGTCAGTCCCCTGAAAACTCTTCCACAACCTACTCTGCATCACAGTTTTCGTTTACAGCATTCACTCCCTTACAGTTTGCTCCCTGCCCTTATTTGCCTAATGTCACTTTTAGTATGACAGCAATTGTAATTAAAAACAATTAACATGTCCCTTGGCCTTGATAAAATGTTCAGAGATAGAGAGGAGCAGACAAGTCTGAAAAGGAAATGGTGGATAAGATTCAAGTGCCCATTTTGTAGTACAAACTTCTTGCGGCTGTCTGCCAGCAGAGAAACAGCCATAGGTTTGTGCATGCCTGCAAAATACCACAAAACCAAAAAATGTAATCCTACTGTTTGCATACTATAAGTTTATGTTGAAAAGCGTGCTGCAATTGGTTAGTGCTTCATCACCTGCCAGCCAAGGGCAGAAGGCAGATCAAATGTTTCACTCACTTTCAGTGTGTATTTTCTCCTGCACTACACACATCCCACACACAAAAAAAAAAAACCAAAAGGACCTTAGAACATAATGCACTGAAATCACAATGGGTAGCAGAGAGTAAGGGGAATGATTTTTAAAAAAAACCTTAAAACAAGATCCAAAATAGCAACAGTCAAAGCTTTTCCAACAAAAAAAAAAGTGAAATTAAGGGTCTTGAGTCTGAACTGAGTGAGAAAACCTAGATTACAATCATTGCAATTTTTCAGAAGGTAAACGTTCTCAAAAACCAAACATCAATTTGCTCTTCCAGTTTTGGGAAGTAGTAGTTTGATCAGTGGCGAGTAAAGAAGACAAAATCATACAATGTAGAACAGTGGAAATCCTATTTAATGCTATTTGACACTTGGAATTTGAAATCTTCACACACAGCTGAAATTCTTTAAGAAGCATCTTCCAAATGTTATCACAAAAATCATGTTCAGTAGATGCAATCCATAACTTGATACAGCCTTTTATTAAAAGTGAGAGGAGAGGAGGAAGTTTAAACTTTTCAAACATGTTTTGGAATTTTAAGTAGGGAAAAAACCTTATCTTTCCGGAAGAAGAAAGAGCAAACACTTTAGACCTCAACTAACAACCAGCAAACACTCCCTTTTTTAATCTAGAAATTCCTCTCCTACTCCCCCTCCCCACCCCCACACCTGCATAACAGAAGAGAAACAAACAAGCTCCCATACAACAGACTGTACTTCAACCTGAAGTAATGAGAACCCTTCTACTGTCCGAATCCTAGATAGTTTACAATTCAGCAAGCTGAAATGAAATATTCTTAAAAACACAGCAAGCTGCTGGCAGCGCAGCTTTTACTGGATCATAGTAAGCATTAAAACGAATACATGTTTTTTCCTTGTAGCCTATCTGCAGGCTGCCATCAAAATAGCAATTCATTCCCTGTTTCTACTTTCCCACACCCTCAGCCTACTGGTGGCTATAAAGTAGTCAGCGCCACAAGGTAAATTGGATCAGCCTGCTGATCAAACAGAGGACTATCCCACAGAAAAAGCTAGCTTGCTGATCTGAGTCACCATGTAGCCACATGCCCACTAAAGGCAGATTAGAATGGCAGAAACGTTTAGAAAGGTGCAGGAGTAGGAGGGGATTTGGATCATCCCTTTGACCGTCAAATCAAGAGCCACTGAGGCATAGAAAATAGAAACACTTTTTGATACAGACTCCTTGCAACAAACGTCACGCAACTTCAGAGAACTGCATGCAGCATGATTTGTGTTTTATTTATTTATGAAAGCATCTCGAGTGGACAGCAGTAACTTTGGGCCAAATAAACCAACCACAGAGTGCTCTTTATACAGGATCAACCCCTCAATGTTAAGTATGGGATCTTTGAAAACACAAAGCTTCAGAACATTCGTGCTGTGAGATTATTCAATTTGTTTTTCTGACTTTTATTTTGCAAATCTGTATGATTAAAATAGCTCAGCCCTATTAACTTAATAAGCTACAATCTTAAATGACCACAGCATTTGCTAAACATTAGATAAAGTGCTTCCTACAGACCCCAGGTTGCTTCTTACTGCTTCCTTTGTGTCAAAGATTCCTGCCACCCATCAACCTTTTCCAGTCTCTTCACCCTAAAAGCTTCCAGAACAGTTAGCCACCAGTAACAGAATTGCGTTAATGACTAAACAGAAACTACATTAACAAATCATAAAGCGGACACCATGGCAATATTTTTTTTTCTTAATTTTCAGTGGATGACAGGCCATTTTTATTTAACTCAGCTGCAAGTGCTTCCAGAATACAAAACATGTTTTTGCTTCAAAATTGATGTTTGAGTATGCTTACTCAAACATCAATTCACACAATTTTTAACATGCAGTCCCACGCCCTGTTACCCCTGGTTGAGACAAGAAAATGCTGTAAAGCTTAGCTGGACTACACAATTGTCAGCAAGACAGTGTCACTGCCCTCATGCTGCAAATGACTTGGAGAACTTGAATAAGTCTCCTAAAAGGAACATCAGAAACTGAAGAAAGCAATTACAAAAGTCCTTCAAAAGAAAATATTAAAGTAACGCTTCTACACTCAACACCATATTTGATGGCATTTCAGAAGAGAAATTTATTTATTACGTTTACAAAAGATACAAAGGAGAAAAACTAACTTGGTAAATTTCACCCGTCTTCTGTCTAAAAAAAACTAACCACAACCACACAACACTTGTTCATATACCCTAAAAAAACACATTTACCTCCCTCACCACTACACAAAACAACCTGCTTGGAAATGTTGTTATGAAACATATATATATCTCAGAAATGCTTAAGAGGAAGTGTGGAGTATCTTAATTTTTAAACACCACATTAATATTTCAAAAGGTTAGCAGGTACAACCCTTGACACTGTATTTCAATCACCCACTGTACCACCTCATGCTGTACAGCAGGTAGGGGAAAAAAGCAGCAAAAAACCCAGACTCCAGCAGCCTGAAAATCCTGTCTACTCCTACCACTACCCATCCTAGAGATCTGTGAGGATGAAGGCAGGAAGAATTTATCACTTTCCAGTTGCTACTCTTACTATCAACATTCAACAGTTCAAAACATATGTTCTTAAGAAGGAGATGAGTCTGAAAGTTTTCTACCTCTTTTAACCCAGAATCTTACTTCAGCAAGGCTTGCAAGAAAAATATTTGTTGCTTTAAGCTAAAAAAGTATTTCAGAAGAAAGTGCTTAGGGTAACTCCTCAATAAAGTTCAGTACATTGACCGAAATCTGATTTTCAGCAGCTTGACTATTCTATGACTATCAAGGTGTGCATATAGCACACTATTCATTATCCAACCAAAGCAACAGTCCCCTGGGAAGTCATTACTATACAGGCACACTGAATCAAGACCTCAGGAGAAGCATCTAATACAAACATGACACTCACAAACAACGTAAAAATGAATGTTTGGCTTCATTTACAGATTCTTCCTCATGGACTGTGCTGCTGACAAAGCTGAGATTAGCACTACCAAGGGGGGAAAACCAAAACACAGTCTTTGGTTTACAAAGAGGTGTTTCTGAAGAGGGAGGACAATAATTCAAGTGGTCTAAAACAGACCAAACCAACTATTAGCACAAATTGGCACAGAGAGATTAATAGTCATCCCACTGTTTTAATTTCCATTAAAAAGGGAAATTGGTCCACTAGAAGTCACTAGAAGATTGGACTAGAAGTCCACTAGAAGAGTGGTCCACTAGAAGCACCTATCAACTGTCACCTGTTCAAAAATTGCTTTAAGAAATACAACACTTCCAAAGCAAAAAGTTACAAGTAGCACTGCCAAGACAGTCCTAATCTTCCATTTAGTACAATGCTTCACTTTGGCTTTCTATCTTTGTCTACACTTGTAAGCATATTTTTACTTTACTTGTCCAAAGGACAGAAGCATAAAGGAAGTCTTCTGCTATTAAAATAAATATAGATTTATATTTAAATAAATAAATTTTTAAAATAATTTTTAAAAAGAAATTTTATTTATATGTATTCATAGAGCCCTGCTCTCTGATGTTGTAAATACACTAATAATGAGGCTCAGTACTATTGTAGCCTGCTCAGCTGATCTTCAGTAAGGGAACAATGCCTAGAGAAAAAGCATAGACCTACGAAAGCACAGGCTTAGGGGAAAAGGATAGGTGTCTAGGAAAGAGAAAACCTAGAGAAAGAGAATAGGTCCCTACAAGAGAGTTAAGTCCCTAGAAAAGCATGTAGATCTAGGACAGACCTTGGCAGGACCCAAAGCTACTATCTCCACATCCTTCCCCTAGCCAAAGACTCTTCCAAAAAATGAAAAGCCTCTGTGGGGAGGAATACATTGACTAAGCCCCACCTATCTGCTATAAATTAAATACATTTATTTATATTTTTATGGATTTTTAAAAATTTAAATAAAAAGGCATAAATAATATGCCTTTATTCCTATTGCATGCTACAACTTCAATAATTTGAATTAAGGTATGAATTCATCCAGGCCAATTATGAGAAGGTATATTGTAGCCTAGGTCTTCAACTATTATCAAAAGCAACATATTTAAGAAAATGCAAAACTATTCACCTTGCAAGTAGCAAAATTAAAAGCTTTTTTCATCTACAGCGGAACACTTATCACAACAAAGTAATTCATCATTTCTTCTAAACCATAGTCTCAGTAAAACACAAAACCAATATTAAGTGTCAAAACCACAGAACTTCATTTCAGTTCAGATAAAATGTAAAAATCCCAGTGAACTTGGTCACCACTACTTGGCATTATGCAATTCCCTAGGATTGATGGACTCAAATACTGAAGTGTGCTCTAGTAAACCAGTAAAACTAGTTACATATTTAGCATGCCACTGAGCAGTGCTGACAAATTTCACAAATTAATTTTTAAAGTCACTTATTAGCATCTACCACTCTATTCACCCACTTTAATCAAAAGCTATGCCCGTATGGAAATATGGCTCATGTAAAGCCTCAGCTTCTTTAAACTTCTTTGAAAACTTCATGTCCTGACAAAAGCTGACAAAAATATTGTATTCTTCCTCATCCCACTGTTCACTTTCTTCCACTCCAGCTGACATACAAGGCGGGATGCTTCTTTGCCCTTCAAGAGCTCCACGTGCCCCAGTAACCCAACCCATTTCATTTCTGTCTTACATATTCTAAACCTTAGAGTCTTCTGTCTTCTCCTTCCACAGAAACCACTCAAACAGATGTGACAAGTGGGCTTTAAAAACAAATCACAGCTATTGCACCATCTTCCCTCCTCTCAACATCAGCATACCATCCACTCCGACACAATCCCTCTCCTTTAAATCTACCCTAGGTAGCCTTTAATGTAGGCTTTGGTTCCTTGCATTCTGTTAAATCATTCAAGTCACCCCAAAGTTTATAGTCTGTATCTTATCCTCCTGACATGCCATTAAAAAACTGGCCTTCCCTAACTGCTTCCAACATTATGGGTTTTCTCCCACATTGCTACCATTCTTAGATTTCCGTTCTGCACTGTTTTGCTCTCCCTAATTATTACTCTTGTAATACAGAAACTCATTCAACCACAATCTTAGTATAAATAACTCAAATTAATTCCTGCCTTCTCAAGATCTATCTTTCCC